AGGCTGTATATGTGAGAAAAAAGTGATATTCTTAAGACACTGAAGTGAGAATCAGAGCAAACAAAGAACAGCAAAATACCATGGCACATAGATTTGGCCTTTCAGAAACTATTAAAATAGTTTAGACTTTTTTGATTGTTGACTGACTCTAGATCTGAAGAAGAAAACTTACAAAATGAGGCTGAGACATCCTGTTGCGCTAGAATTCAAGAAACTCAAAGAACAATAAGTTGGTTCAAAGGGTTATAGGAACCCACTCACTGAAAGTCAATCAATGGCCAAATAAAAGACAAAATTGAGCATCATGAAAAATATGGATGTATTAATTGAAGCACATTGCATATATAAAAGTCTATAAGCTCATATTGTCATGACATGCAGACAGAGAGAGGGAGACAAACAAGAGTGAAGAAGAAGAGGAGGATGAAGAGAAAAAGCAATTTATTGGACACCATTGAAAAAATGACCAGAGCACTGATATGATTTGGTTCTGTGTCCCCACCCAAATCTCACCTCAAATTGTAATCCTCACATGTCCAGGAAGGGACCTTCGGGGAGATAATTATTTCATGGGGGCAGTTTCCCCTATGCTGTTCTTGTGAGAGTGAGTGAGTTCTCACAAGATGTGGTGTTTTAAAAGTGGTACTTCTCCCTTTGTTCTTGCTCTCTCCTGCTGCCTTGTGAAGAAGGTACTTGCTTCTCTTTAGCCTTCACCATGATTGTCAGTTCACTGAGGCCTCCCCAGCCATGTGAAACTGTGAGTCAATTAAACCTCCTTTTTTCTTCAATAATTACCCAGTCTCAGGTATTCTTTATAGCAGTGTGAAAACAGGCTTATGCAAGCACCAACTTTTTGAAAATTGTCACGTTATAATTTTTCCTCTATAAACTGTATTTTAGGTTAATCATAGCACTAGTTGATTAGAAAAATTTCTACTTTACCAAAATTTCCAGGTAATTGATGTGCAATCACTTCCATAATTAAAAGAAAACATTCTGGGCCAGGTGCAGTGGCTCATGCCTGTAATCCCAGCATTTTGGGAGGCTGAGGTGGGAAGATCACGAGGTCAGGAGTTTGAGACCAGCCCGGCCAACATGATGAAAGCCCGCCTCTGCTAAAAATACAAAAATTAGCCAGGCGTGGTGGCAAGCGCCTGTAATCCCAGATACTCAGGAGGCTAAGGCAGGAGAATTGCTGGAAGCCGGGAGGCAGAAGTTGCAGTAAGCCGAGATTGAGCCATTGCACTCCAATCTGGGCTACAGATCAAGACTCTGTGTCAAAAAACGAAACAAAACAAAAACCATCATGTTGTAGCTCCTAATGAGGCAATTTAAGTCAAGGTAATTAGTAGTTGAAAGTATCTTAGTATTAATACATAAGGGAAATATTGGGTGCTTCCTGATATGATGCCAAGTACCGTACCCAATACTTATGAAAAGTTTTGCATCTTTTAAGATTGACACAGAATCAAATCAACTTCCATTTAGGAAAGAGTTAATTTCCATTTATAGTATATTCCAGAGATAGAAGAAGTTAAGTGATACACAAAGAAGGAAACTGGAAAAAAATTCAGGATGTACATTTTACAAGACCTATCCTTTGCAAAAAATTAATGAGAAAGAAGAGAGAGTGAGAGTTCTGAATCACAGAGACTTGAGCAGCATGCTAACCAAGTGTCAAATGTGATCATTGTTTGGATTTTGATTCACATGGAGCAAATGAGAAGATTTTTCTTCCTTTTCTTCTTCCCCTTCCTCCTCCTTCTGGTCTTTCTTGTTTTCTTTAAGGTCATCGAAGAATTTTAATTACAGACAGTGTTTTTTTTATTTTATCACGTAACAAACCATCCCGGTACTTAGTGACTTAAAATAACAATCATTTATTTTCTCACAATTTTTCAATTTGATAGGGACTCACAGGGTTTGGGGGTGGGGTTCCTCTGGCATCAGCTAAGGTGGCTCATCTGGGGCTTACTTCCAAGATGACCTCATTCCCAGGGCGAGCACATTGGGGCCCATGTCATCATGGAGACCAGATGGGACAGACACTGGAGCTCTCAATTCTCCTTCATGTGGGTCTCTTTACACGCTGCTTGGGCTCCTCACGATAAGACAACTGGGTTCCAAAGAGGAGAAAATAGAAGCCAGAAGTTTTCTTAAAAGCTAGGCTTAACTGAAACTTTGTAATAAGTTCTGGAGATCTATTGTACAGCATGATGATTATAGTTAATAATAATTGTGCTGTATATTTAAAATTTGCTAAGAGATTAGATTTTAAATGTTTTCACCATAAAAAAATTGGTAAGTATTTGAGGTGATGGATATGTTACTAGTTTATCTATTTCACAATGTATACGTATGCCAAAACATCACATTGGACACCATAAATGCACACAATTTTTATTTTTCAATTCAAAGAAAGGCATAAAGGGAAGAAGGTAGGTTTACAACTAGTGCAGTGATATTTTTGCCATAGTCGCATTTTCAATGTAGTCATAGTCTCAGCAGACATTCAAGAGATTGGAGAAAGAGATCCTACCTTTCTGTGAGGGGAATGACAAAGGCAGGTATTTGAAGTAATCAGGAAACAATTTTTAGATTTATGAATGGCATTCTCATTGTCTTAAAAAAGTCAAAAAAATTAGAGATAAATGAAGTATGTAGGATTGAAATAACATGATGCTGAGACTTGCTTTAAGATACTTTAGCGGGAAAGAAAAAGGGGATAAAACAGGACAGATGAAGTAACTTTTGCAATATCTTGATAATTATTGAATATAGGTGAAGGGCATATAAAGGAATTATTGTAGTTCACTTTTGAGTATGTGTGAAATTTTTAAGTCTTTTTTGAATCAGAATTTGAAATAATATTATAACTCCTAAAATAAAAAATTATAAAGAAGAAACCCAAAGTCCTAGTTTCATCTAGTTTAGCTTTTGATTAAATTTTAATATTGTATCTCAAAATATTTCTTAAATAATACACTTCAAAAGTACTAACTTGGAAAAGTATGAAGAAATAGTGAAACCTACAGGGGTACTGAGGCTCTTGGGAGGCACGATGGAAGGGAGACCAAACAGGAACGTCTGCTTGACATTGGTGCATATGATGTCTGTTTCCAGTGTTCGAAAGCAACCGTGTGAGGATTTAATGCTATGAACTTCTGCAGCCATCTTCAAATCATGAAAGGAAGGGCCAGGGAACTATAGACAGTACTCATGACTGATCTCACTGACCCTCTCCTTCAGTGACAACAATTGTCGATCCATAGACCTGTTCTTATATGTGAACAATAACTTTTCTTGATTAATCACTCTCAGTCACGTAGTCTATTACCTGCAACTCAAAGCATTCTTAACCAATAACACTTTAAAGCAGAAGGTGCCAATGTAAATCTCCATTTAATTTGCTAATTAAAATCAAGGGGCTATAGATACCCTTCCCTAGAATATCTTATTTCTAATAAGGGTATTGGAAATAAGTGTTATTTAATGAAAAGTAAGTCCAGGACCAAGTTATGAAGAAACTTATTTGCAAGATCTAAATTTAACTTTAATTGTTTATTCATCTGTTGATGGACACTTAAGTTGATTCCATACCTTGGCAACCAGAAATAATGCTGCAATGAACATGGAGGTGCAAATATCTGTCTGACATACAGACTTCATTTCCTTTGGATATATACCCAGTAGTGGGATTGCTGGAAAATGTGGTATTTATACACAATGAAGTACTATTCAGTTTTTAAAATGAAGGAAATTCTGTTATTTGTGACAACATTGATGAGTCTGGAGGGTATTACGTTAAGTGAAACAAGCCAGAAACAGAGAGATAAACACTGCATGTTCTCACTAATGTGGAATCTAAAAAAGTTGAATTCATAGAAGCAAAGAGTAGAATGATGATTACAAGGCTCTGGGGAATTTGGGGAGTAATTGGAGGAGATGATGTTCAAAAGATAAAAAATTTTAGTTAGGAAGAATAAGTTCAGGAGATCTATTGTACAATATGGTGCTTTTAGTTAATAACAATATATTGTACATTTGAAAAGTGCTAAGAGAGTAGATTTTAAGTGTTCTTACCACAAATAAATATGTAAGGTGATGCATATGTTAGTTTAATTCAACCATTTCACATACATATTTCAAAGAATCATGTTGTATACCATAAATACACACAATTTTCATTTGTTAATTAAAAAATGAAGAGAAATAATAAAAATTTAAAAAATAAATTTAACTTTCAGAACTGTTAGTGCATTTTTAAAATAATTAGATCAAGCATATCTAGCAATAAAATACCTAAATTAATATCAAAGAATCACCTAGTCTTAGCTGATGTTTTCAAATACCTAGGTTTAACACACCATTGTACAGATGAATTTACTGAAAACGCAAGGGCTAAGTATTACCCTGAAGTTTACAAAGGATGATATAGTTAGTATAAAAAGCATAAAATTTGGAACTAGATATTCCTGGACTAGATTCCAGAATTTACCAGTTTCTAATTTTGACCTTGGCAAGTTACTTATTCTTCTGAGCCTCAATTTTCTTATCAAAAAAACAAAGTAAAACAAATGAACATTTTTCAAGATTTTTTTTTTTAAGGAGTAAGATAATCTGCAAAAGTCCTTAATTTCAAAACTTACTTTGAAGCATACAGTAATCAAAACAGTGTGATACTGGCATAGAAACAGACATGTAGACCAATGCAATAGAATGGAGACTCCAGAAATAAACTCTCATTTACATGGTCAAATGATTGTCAGCAAATCTGTCAAGACCATTCAATGGGTAAAGTACAGTCTTTCAACAAATGGTGTTGGACAAATGGAATATACACACACAAAACAATAAAGTTGGACCCTTACATTGCAACATACACAAAGAGTAATTAAAAATGGACAAAGCCCTAAAGAGCTAAAACTATAAGTTATTAGAAGAAAACATTAGGAAAAATCATCCTGACGCTGGATTTGGCAATGATGTATTTAACACCAAAAACACAGGTAACAACAACAAAAATAGATAATTTAGACTTTATCAAATTAAAAAGAAAAAAGCTTCTGTGCATTAAAGGACACTATTACCAAAGTAAAAAAGTAACTCATTGAATAGGAGAAATTATTTGCAAATCGCATATCTGAGAAGAGATATCCAGAATGTGTAAAGAACACCTACAACTCAACAATAACAAAACCAAAAACCAAACTAACCCAATTTTTAAAATGGGCAAAGGACTGGTATAAACATTTATCCAAAGAAAATACATAAATGGCTAATAAACAAAAAGATGCTCATCACCACTAATCACTAGGCAAATGCAAATCAAAACCATGAGATACCATTTCACACTCATTAGGGTAGCCACTATTTTAAAAACACACACACAAAAACAAACAGAAAAAAAAAAAAAAAAACAGAAAATAACAAAGGCTGGCAAGGATGCAAAGAAAATGGAACCTGTGTGTACTGTAGGTGAGAATGTAAATGATGCAGTCAATAAGAAAAACAGTATGGTGGTTCCTCATTAACATGGAATTAACAAAGGATCCAACAATTCCCTTCTCGATATATACCCAAAAGAATTGAAAGCAGGGACTCAAACAGATATTCGTATATCTATGTTCATAGCAGTCTTATTCACAATAGTCAAAGGTAGAAGTAATCCAAGTGTTTATCAACAAACAAGTGGATAAGCAAATTGTGGTATATACACAAAAAGGAATCTTATTCAACCTTAAAAATGAAGGAAATTCTGGCACATGCTATTACATGGATGCACCTTGAAGACATTATGCTAAGTGAAGTCAGTCAGTCACCAGATGGTATATACTGATTCCACTTACAGAAAGCATGTAGAGTAGTCAAATTTAGAGAAAGAAAGTAGAAAGGCTGTTTCCAGGGGCTGAGAGGCAGGGGAAACGGGTAGGGTAGTTAATGTTTAATGGGTACGGGATTCGAGTTAGGAAAGATTAGGAAAGATGAAATGGTTCTGGGGACGCATGGTGGTGATAGTCGCACAACAGTGTGGAGGTACTTAATGTTACTGAACTGTTTACTTAAAAGTGGTTAAAGTGGTACATTTTAGATGTATGCACTTTGCATATTTTGAAATCGTAAAAATGTGTTTGTCTCTCTATCTTGTCATGTAGGGAATCAAATGTTTTGTTAATCGTTGAAAGAGAAAATAGGAATGGGAGGTGGGAAGGAATGTGAGATGGACCCTTGACCTACCACCTTTAAAAGGAAGATGTTACTTTTATCCTGAAGAATAATATTTCCTCCAGGTTTGCCTGTAGTTGTTTTCGATGCATTTTCACTGCAGGTTTTAGGACTATCATTGCCACCTTTGAAATCTGTTTACACAGATCGTGGTAAGTCTCATTCTCTCATTTTATGAGTCAGGGTTCTTCATTAATTTAGAAAATTGTTTGTTCAATAAAGGCCTATATTATTTGATAATGGTCTCTGAATCCCCTGGATTATGGCAGGGATTTTACTTTGTAATAATCTCCCATGAGAACTGGCCAAACAGCTGTGAAGGCAAGAGAGAGCTACAAGAGGCAATCGTCGTTTTCAAAGCAGAGCAGCAAGAGAGTGAAGCTGGTCAAAATGAATCTTTTTTGCATTTCGCTGGTAAGTTCTTTTACTTGGACCATTTATGTTCTCATTTTAATTTTACTGTGTCAAATAAAAGGAATGAAATTAGGATATATTCTAAACTTCCTATGTGATGGTATTAATACACTTAGCATCTCAGAAAGTTCCCATCAAAAAGAACAGTGAGAAAGGATGCTTTCATTAAAGCACTTAAGCCAACTCTACTCAAAGACAAGTAATAAAAAAAAAAAATCTGCAACAATTACTATTTATTTAACATTTTGATGCTGAATTTTTAAGTATAATATTCTGGGAACAGTATTTTTGAGAAATAATTTTCTTCTATTTGTTATGAGTATGAGACAAAATTTTGCAAACCCTGTAGCCTTTGTGTTGCTTGCTTTGCTTTGAGACATCCCAGGAATCAAAATTTCTTCTTTGTTCTTTGAGTAATGAATTCCTTTCAATGTTGGCTTGGTTAAACTTCCATGGAGATAGTTTTCTGAGTTGCACCACACTGTAAACACAAGGTACAATAGATTAATTCAGTCCTGGAGATGTGCTTACTCAAGGGTATAAGCACCTCTCAAATTCTTTTTCACATTATTCCTTTTTTTTTCCCCTTAGCCTGAAGTGGATCAGTGAAAGTTATCAGGTAGTCATGGATCTGAAAATACTTTATAACTCTAACCTGCAGTTGTGACCATCTGCCAATGCTTAAAAATGGATTTCAAAAATAATTTTATTCATTTCTATCTGTGTTTACAGCATTATGTCTATTCATTGGTTTTTCAAGATGTCGATGGGCGATCCCTCTCATTTGGGAAAATAAAATAGCCTAGTTCTGATGTTTGTTTTCTTTCCAAATTGCACATAAGATTAACATAAGCAGTAGAGATGGTGCTGACATACGTTGTAATACCTAAACAGGAGGCATTTTAAACCAAGATAAGGGATTTAATCTTAGAGCATCTTGAAAAATAAAATGCAATTGTGAGTTGTGGGAGGCTGAATCATCGAGTTCTTGTTGCCTGTATAGTCCAATTTACAAAATAACTGCCAGCTCTCAACTTTGCTTTGTGCCATATAAATCTGACGGCAGAAATCCCATTTCAGGTGATTTAAGTGGTATTGTGCATACTTTTCTAGTTGATCTAAAAGGGCTATATGTGGTTTATATGAATACACTTCCCATGGAAATAGGCAGTGTGGCACCAAAGACGATTGCTTTCTGAAATCATTTTGAATGGTAATATAATCAGTATGCTAATATTTCTATAACATAGCATGGTTCAGCGTGGGGTGACATACGTTCGTAACGCTGCTGCTAAAGACATATAACCATATAATGAGCTTGATTGTCTTCCTCTCTGATATAGGGAAGGGAGCACATACTTAAAAAGGATTGCCTGAAAGTCCTGGCTCATGGACTCAATAGGACTGTAACTCTTTTCTGTCTGTTAAAGTTGTCCTTAAGAAGTTACTTGCTCAGAAACATATTTGATTAGACGAAACCGTCAAGAACCCTAGACTTTTGTTGAATCATTGCAAAGTTTATGTTATCAAATTCAATTGCTTTAATAAGAAAATGTGTACAAGGTACTTAAAAAATAAACATTATCTTAGATGTTTTTTATTCCTTCTTGTGGAATAAATACATAAAATAATTTAGTGTAGGTTCTCAGCCAGAGTGTTGTGACACCCTACTGTGCTGTTATAACCTTTGAAAAAGGGGTGGGATTACAGCTTGCCAGGAATTTATGCAAAATCCAAAATATATTTTATCCATGGCTGTAGGAATGTGAACACATGGGACACTGCATTTAAGAAAAGAGAATAAAAACCACTGGTTTAATGGAAAGATTCTTGAATTTAAAAAAATGAAAAAGTAAATACACTGACCTTTAAATCTCTGGGAAGCAGGTGATTTTAAACATTATGTGTCACATAAAGATTACCACTAAAGAAAGAATGAAAGAGTTAAACATCTCTCATTTAAGTGGAGGGGAAAATTGTAAATCTTTCAGTAAATGGGGTTTTTAAGAGAAATATAAAGGCAGAAACTTAATGAACTACTCATTCTGAACCAAGGATACTATAAATAATCCATTAAAGGTGATTGCTATTATTTTGGATCTATTAACTTGAAATGGGGTCTATCTTTCAAAAGGGAGGCAGAGCTATCCTTTTATATATGCTACTCTGACTCCACAATTTTTCTTAGAGTTTTATGTGGTGATGAGGCTTTTAGAAAACTTGCTCATTTGAAGTACACTGATTTTTCTTGTTGAGCTCATCATACAGTTATTGCGTTTAACATGTCTTTGTAACCCGTGAGGTTACAAAGCAATTATCCCTGCACAATTTCTCCAATAATTTGAAATGCTGCCTCTGTCTTTATTTGGATTCTCTATTCTAACCCATTGGTTCATTTCTATCCCTTTCCTTTTACTCGTTCTTTTAAGTACTTTTTAAAATATTAATAATTCTACCACCATGTAAGTCTTACTCAGAAGAATACCCTGCTCCCCATTTGTCCTTCTTCAAAGTTTGGACTTCGTCTTTTTTCTATATAAACTTATGTTTATATTGTCAAATTATATGAATACCTTTGATGGGATTTTGATTGAAATGAATTTGAATTTTACACCATTTTTAGGGGAAATTGACTTCATTAAGCGTTAGGTCTTTTCATCCACAAACATAGATAATGCTTTATTCAATTCTTTCGTAGCCTTCAATAATATTTTATAATTTTGCCTATGATATCTTGCACAGCTTTTGTTAAATTTATTGTTAGGCGTCTAAGAATTTGGGACGCCATTGTGAATTTTTCTCCAAGTTTGTTGATGCTGATTTAGAGATACATTATTAGCATATTGATATCCAAAAAAAATTTTTTGCTGATCTCGAAGAATTCTGAGACATACTCTGTGGTTTTCTCAGATTTTCTGTGAAAATAATCTATAAATTATGCCTCTCCTTAGCATTTATATTATTCTCAACTTCTTTATCTTCCATAATATTGAAAAGTAGGAATGCTATGATAGCAGTCATCCTACTCTTATTTCCAATGCTCATGTAATTATTCGTGAGGAAATTTTTTTTAAATAACTCTAACCAGGTTAAGGAAGTCCTGCCTTTTCCCAATTAGCTAAAATTTTGACGTGGGTAAACATTAAAAATTTTCAAGTGCCTTAAACATTTATTGAGATTAACTTCCTTTTAAATATTTTAACCTATATTTAAATATTGAAGCATTGTTACATTTCTATATTACACACTAATTGGTCATAATGTAGTTTTATATGTACTGTTTGATTTTGTTGACTTTTTTTAGGATTTAAAAATCTATGTTAATACCTAAAATTGGTCTGTTGTTTTCTTGCATTAATAAGAAAATTCCATCATTTTCTTTTTCTAGAATTCCTATTAGTAGTATTTTGTCATCTTTTAATATATCTTCCAACCTTTTACCTGTGTGTATCATGTTTTCTATTTATCCTTCTATGCTGCACCCTAAGTGAACTCAGCATTTTCTAATTCTCTCTTATGAAAGGTCTAGAGTTCAATTTTTGATTATTTAATATAAATTTCTGTGATTATATTATTTATTTTCAAGACTTTATAATTGTTCTTTGTTCCTATTTAATGATTTCTGTTTCATTTCTGTTTTGGTTTCATCATAAATTATTTCTTTTTAATCGAATATTACTTTTTTATTTAGCTCTGAAGATTATATATATTCTTTCTTAAATTATCTCTCCATCTGTTTTATGATTTTAATTTCATCTAGAAGGAAATGGTTTAGCTTTCTGATTGTCAATTCGGTTGGCTCTCTTTCTCAGCATTTGATCTCTTCATAGTGCTTTGGCTAATTTAGAATGACAACCCTTTTTCTTTCTCTCTTTCTCTTTCTTTCTTTCCTGGCTTCTTCACCTTGCTTTATCTACTAGTGAGGCAAAAATCTCTTGTCTTCCGGATGCCCCAGTGAAAAACCAGGGCTTGCATTGCTGGTCCAGAGATCTTATTCCAAGCAGATATGTGGACTATTACTAATCTAGACACTGAACCATTGGTAGTTTGTTTCATATTCTGTTTTGCTGGCTGTGTTGTTAAATTTTGCTCTTCTGGCTCATACCTTCCTGTAAGCAAGAGCCCTAGCAGCTGTTGACAGAAGCTTTTTTCAGTCCCCTTTTATAGCAGTGATTGCTACCATAGGCCCTGTATTTCCATCATGGAGTTTGTCTTATGTAGAAGACATCTATTGTATGCTACCCTTTAAGGCTTAAGATCTGCCCAATGCGGCCGGGCGCGGTGGCTCAAGCCTGTAATCCCAGCACTTTGGGAGGCCGAGACGGGAGGATCACAAGGTCAGGAGATCGAGACCATCCTGGCTAACACGGTGAAACCCCGTCTCTACTAAAAAATACAAAAAAACTAGCTGGGCGAGGTGGCGGCGCCTGTAGTCCCAGCTACTCCGGCTGAGGCAGGAGAATGGCGTAAACCCGGGAGGCGGAGCTTGCAGTGAGCTGAGATGTGGCCACTGCACTCCAGCGCGGGCGACACAGCCAGACTCCGTCTCAAAAACAAACAAAAAAAAGATCTGCCCAATGCTGTCTATTTTTGGATGGGAGCTTAATAGGTCTAAAGTTTTAGTTTCATTCACTACTTTGTATTTCTGTTAGGTTTCCCTACATGTTTATGTATTTTAAAGCACTCATAACACACTTAGTTCTTAATCATTTTATCAGTAGTTTGTAATGTGCTTGGAACAAGGGTTACTTAAAAGAGGGAACAGCAAATCATATTGGCTGCAAGTTCTAAAGGTAGACAAGGCATCCAATCTTCACTTTGCTTATATGTTAATATACTTAGAACTTTTCAATATGCTAAGTGTATACTGTATACCTCTCTCCTTTAAGACTGCTTCTAGATGATGTCATAACTAGACTAATTATATCTTTTTTAAAAAGTCAATTTGATTAATAAGTTTGCTTTCCAAATATGAAGAAGTTATAATACATTACACAATG